GGGCTGTGTACCAGTGCCGGGTCACTCACCTTGGTGTTAGAGACCTGGAGAGGGAAGGTCACAGCTGTAACAGCATGGAAAGATTGTGAGGGCCTCAAAGGCAGCCAGAGGAGAACCTAGGATTTGTACTCCTTCCTGTGATAATGTGGAAAGGCGGAGACCCAAACGCTGGGACCCAAACGGCTCTCCTCTTCCTGGCATGGAAGGAATTCTGTTCTAGTGACCCGCTGAGCGTTTCCAAATGAGCGTGTGGTGGTGTGCACAGTGGGGCCTCGACTTCAAGGCCTGTTGCAGCGCTTGTCCTGCTTCTAACCTCCCTTTCCTTAAATCTCATGGAGGTTATTTTAAACTAGAGTGCAATTTAATTGTGAAATTCTGTGACAAAAGATATAAGCTGATGAGGAGTTGCTTAGGATTAGGAAATGTTTCTCCCTCTCCCCTCTGAGATGGTGGGAGTGTTTCATAATTAGCCCTTTGTGCAAAACTTCTGTTTTCTTTTGAAATAGGTGGTGGTTCTTGCTGTCAAAAGCAGCACGGAAATAGATGGAAGGGTGATATAACCTAGCAGCCTGCAGACTTACTGTACATCTCTCCCTGGTACATATTTATAATGGCTGAAAGGTTGTTTGAACTTAAGCTTGGAAACAGTTTGGATTTTTCTTTGTCAGAATAAATGTATTAAGGATGATGGTTGCCATTTATTTTTGCTATTACTTTGCTTTTTTCCTTCCAGTATGTGGCAGAAACAGGCTTTGCCTGTTTAATGACATGAAGGGTTACACTATGTGGAGCTGTGGGGTGTGTGTGATGATACTCACATGATCCCCCAGATTACAGTATCTCAGCCTAGCGAGGGAGAGCTCTTCATGTATTTATCTTCCCATATAGCTATGCTTGTTTTCAAGTCTATCACAGGGATGTCAAAATGTAGGCCTGATGTCATGCAGGACCCCTATAGCAGAACAAGCTAAAGCACTTTCCCTGTTATCTACAATGGTATTTGAATTGTACCATTCCCTGCTTTGCTTCAGTTTGTTAAATCCTTTGCTCTGTTCTCTCTCTAGGCCCTTGGCTGTTTGCTGTACAAGCTGTGTTACTTCACCTTGCCATTTGGGGAGAGTCAGGTGGCAATCTGTGATGGCAATTTCACCATTCCAGATAATTCTCGGCACTCGCAAGACATGCACTGCCTCATCCGTGAGTGTGTCTGACAGTGGTATAATCTACTTTTGCAGAACTAAAAAAATAGCATAGGTGTTTTGCTCTTACGTTCCCTGCTCCTACAGTAAAACAGTTGGAGTTTCTCTTATTTTAAGAGACGTACTTGCACACAGGGGTGGATAAAGTGATCTTTTAGTAGCTTAGGAGATCACTTTTCGAAAGAAATGATGACAAAGAGATTTCTATTTGGCTAGGCTGTAGTGAACTCTGTGGAAAGGCAGGAAAACAGACAACCATTTGGTTTAAGAGTCCTACAGAAACTTGCACAATAAGCCTATTTACACAGAAACGTATTTCTCCAGTAATAAATCTATTTGGATAAGGAACTGAAAAGAACCACAGTGACTTTGACTAGTGATAAGAATTCATCTTCTGTGAATTGAGAAACAGAACTGAAATGACTTATAAATAACCCACTGACTAGAGTGAATGTGTAATTAAGGGTACAATGCACTACTCTTGGCAAAGCTGGGGTAGCTCTCTTGTTTTCAGCACAGCATTTGATTTTTTTTTTATTTTTTCCCCCCCCCCTAGCCACAATCTTGACTAACACAGAGTTGGATGTGTTTGCAGAGCAGGCTGGTATTTTCTTTGCTTATGCAAAGGCGGTGGTGTATGTGGCTGGCTTGTCTTCCTGCCCCACTGACACACCGGGGATTGATCAAGCTCTTTTACTGCGGGTTCACTTGGAAATGCAGAAGTCGAAACCAATGCTATTCCCTGACCAGGCAGGCTGCATTTCCCCTCCTTGCCCTAGAGCCTTCGATAGCAGCTACAAATTGTTCATAGCTGTTTTGGAAAATATCTCCTAGTCCATCCTGACTGTCTGTCTTGCCCCTTTCTCTCTGACCCTGATGATCAGCTCAGCCCCACCGACCACCGACTGGATGCTTTGAAAGAGGCAGGACACCCTGTTAGCATTTGGCTATACAAATGTAGCTCTGCCACAAATGGCTCACGTGAATCTGTCTGTTCTATTGCTCTGATACTAGCATCTCTGTCTTTTAAAGGGTATATGCTTGAGCCAGACCCTGATAAGAGACCTGATATTTATCAGGTCTCTTACTTTGCATTCAAATTGGCAAAGAAGGAATGCCCAGTCCAGAACGTCCAGGTGAGTAGCGAAGGAGTGGACTGATGTAGGGCTCTGTGGGAGGAGACTAGAGGTGGCAGTTGCTGAATATTGAGCATTCTGTGTATTCTGTCAGTTGTTCCCCAGTTCTGTAATTAGGAGGGTCTTTTTGTGTGGTGGTGTGTTGTTTTTTTGAATTAGCAGTGCTGTTTGGGGGTGTGTTTTTGGGGGGTGGGGGCAGGAATCAGGGGTTTGTTTCATATGTTGTTTATTTCTGTTTGCCCCTGACTTACCTCCTCACCCAGTTACCAGTGTGAGGCCAACCAAGAGATCTTGTGCATGTGAACATGGAAAACTAGGCCATGCTTGCGAAACCGATTTGATTTCCAGGCATATTCATCATAGCGTGTGTAATCTGTGCTGCAGTTGGTTTTAAACATAGCAGTTTTGTGTCTGCTGTCTGGCTGGGACTAGCCAACTCACATTTGAACTACATTAGACCTTACACAACCATCTGCCCCTTCTTAGTGTATCTTTATAGTCTTCAACTGAAAAACAAAGTTGACAAGTATTTTCTTACGGTGTTATGGACATCTGTGACATGACTTTTTATTTTGTTGTTTCTAGGTAAGAAGAAACCTTCCCTCCCTCCCCCCTCCATGTTCAAGTGGTTATTTATGGTCTTTATGAATAAGACATAGTTTTGGTACTATTAGGCCTGTATTTTTTACAGCAGTATTAATAAGTATTGCTGCTATTGTCCCCAGGTTGTCTTTTAAAAATACTCAGGTTGTGCTATGAAGCTTTGCGTTCAGATTCCCCGTGCAGTAAATGGTCAAAAAGCTGAACCGTATTTTTCCCTTGTAAAGACTCTCCCAAACTTCTGTCTCCTTATGACATTAACATTGAGTGATTTGTTCTGTGTCCAGCATGAGGAATAATTGCTTTCAATATCCCCCAATCTCCCCATTTCATTGGGATGTTTTTGCAAATTATTTCTGACTGTTTTCTGCCTTCAAAATACAAAATTTGGTGGTTTTGGGATCTGCAGAACTCTCCAATCCCCACTAAACTCCCAGACCCGGTTAAAGCAAGTGAAGCTGCTGCAAAGAAGAGTCAACCAAAGGCCAGGTAACCACATCTGCATTACGCTCAGCCCTCTCTCTTTATTGTCTATTGTCTTTCTGCTGTTTATTGGGAAAGATGCTTGGTATATTTAGCTGCTTCCTTGTGGGCTTACATATACACGTGGAGACAAACACTGCAGTCCTGAGGCTTTTGCTTCAATGACATAAATAACCATTGATCTGAAAGGCAGAAAATGCAGATATTAGGGGAAATTTTTCTGCGGGGGGGTGGGGGTGGGGTTTGGGCGGTACTCAGCATGACTCAACAGCTAGGCTTTTTGTACTGAAGACATTGCTTGACAGCAGCACTTGAAGTTCATGCACTTAGATGAATCTACTGTGTCATCCATCTGGAGGCAGTACCCAGAGTACCTGAGAGCAAAGTTAGGAGAAAGATTGAGGTGGGCCTGGAATTGGCCCAAAGAATGCAAGTCTGCTGAGAAACTGCACTGGGGACTATTGCTGTTTGAGTTTGACCCTTCGCAGATGATAACCTGACCCAGTAATTACTGTATGAAATTGGTGTGATTTCTGCAAGAGTCCTATAATTTCTTCTGAGGGAGACACAAAAGCCCAAGCAGGCTCCATCTGAAGAGCCCAATTAGTGGGGAAACCACTGTACTGCTGTGGTTTTCATCCTCTCCTGCTGCTGCTTGCTCTGCTTATGATACTGTAATGGAGACTTGTAAATTCTGTTGGACAAAACTTGTACCTTATTTTACTGCAAAGTGAGCAATACAGCAGCGGGCACTCCAAAACCAGCAGTTTTCTTCAGACTCTGAAATAGGGCATCTTTCCTCCTGTCAGTCCGTCCCAGGAGTCTGCTTTGTTTGTTTTTATAATTGAGTGCAGTTACCCTCACATTAGTAGAACAACTTGATATCTAACAAGCAAATGTATCCACAGAGGGGCAGGGTGGTGTCTGGCTTCTTGGCTCTGTTGCTATGCATTTTTGGAGCTCAGTAAATACTGAGCAGGGATCAGAGAGGTCCAATGACCTGATTCTGGGGTAGATGTACTAAAGTTAAGGTCCTTCTAAAGATGGCAATTTAGACAACTCTGCCCAAAGGTACCAGCTGCTCTTAGGCTAATTTGTTACGTCCTTCCTCTGCTCATCCAGAACTCTAAGTGGATTTAAACAGTATGCTGTAGCAAATATTTGAATGAGTTCGGTGACTTTGACAAGTTCCAGCTGTCCAACAGAAGATGCCACAACTGGCAAAGAAGTCAAAATGATCGTGTTGGATTAATTGTTGTGAATGCATCTGTTAAATTTTACTGTGCTGCAGTTTTCTAGAAAGAGTCGACATGGGTGTCTGGATGCCCACAAGTGTTTCGCCTTTATCAGTCACATACTGCTAAAGTATGAATGAGTTTTTAAACCCATACTGTGTGTTGCATGCACCAACTATCAGGCTAACAAATACTGTCCTCTTACTGCTCTTCCATTTATTCCTTACCTTATTTTGTAGGCTGACAGATCCCATCCCTACGACAGAAACTTCCATAGCACCCCGCCAGAGACCTAAAGCAGGGCAGACACAACCCAACCCTGGAATTTTACCCATTCAGCCAGCCCTGACGCCTAGGAAGAGACCCACGGCTCAAGCAGCCATTCAGCCACAAGGTGAAACGATGCTTTCTGTGCGGTGCCTTCCTGCCGGGCGCTGCGTACCGCAGGGCTGTGGTGCACGTTGATCTAATGGATCTGCATGTTTGTTTGGTTGGTTTCCCCCCCCACCCCATCAGTTGCAGGACCTGCTGCCCTGAGCAGTGGTCAGCCTTCGCTCCCTGCAAGTGTCCCCCCGCAAAAAGCAGCACCTCAACAGACTCCGGCACAGCCACAAGCCAAGCAGGCACCAGCTCCGCAGCAGGCCTCGCAGGTGCAGCCCCAGGTCCCTTCTACTCAGCCACAAGCCACACCTCAGCATCAACAGCAGCTTTTCTTGAAGCAGCAGCTTCTACAACAGCAGCAGCAGCAGCAGCAACAGGCTGCCTATTACCAGCAGCAGCAGATGATGCAAGCTCAGCAGGTAGGTGTGCACGGCTGTGTTTGTTGCATGCTTCCTGCGCTAGAAGCCTGCAAGGCCTTATCTTTGCATTTATGGCAAGTCCCCTGGTTTTTGGGGGATAGGTGCGGGTTTTAGGAATTTTCCAATGTGTCTCTGGTTCTCTAGCAAGACTTTTTGCTACGCAAGGCTGGCATTTTTAACTGTCAATGTGCAAGGCCTTGAGATAGTTTTGTCATGTACAAACATAAAATAAGAAGTGCTGGTAGAGATTTTACAGCTCCAAGTGTTTCAGGGTTTTGAGGTCAATGCTCAACTGATGAGCAAGAGGGGTACAATTTCTCTTCCGCTCTCTTTGTGGTACAAGAAGCCTAGCATGCCTTTTTAACGGTAAGATTCAGGTCTGTTTTTGTGGTAGACTGCAGTGTTAAGGAGGCCTGTGAACACATGATGTGTTAAGATGGGATGTGTCTAGCTGACAGACTTGCATGCTTAACTGAGGTGTTTGTAACAGCACAGATCTCTGCTAAAGCATATTTAACAGTGGAAGCAAAGGGCCGGTGAATCTTCCTATGCTGGGGAAAGGTTTAGAACTGGTAAAAATGGAGAAAGGAGTTTGGGACCACAGGACAGTGTGTGCTGTGGGAGCCCCGTACAGGCAGGTGTAACACAGAAAGCATCTAACGTTAGACCAGAAGGCCGTTTTCCACTGCTCCTTTGCAGATGGTCTCCAAGCCATTGCAGCCTGTTACTGCTTTGCCACTTGCAGTGGCTGTAACTGTTCCCATGGCTGGCCCTGAGTGGTGGTACCCCAGTTCCCAGCCGCTCAACAAGCGGCTCAACAACTGGTTGTTTCCCAGTTCCCAGTGATGCAGCAAGGAGCACCAGCACAGCAACAGCTGATGCAGAACTATTACCAGCAGCAGCAACAGCAGCAGCAGATGATGGCCCAGCAGGCAGCAATGCAGCAGAAGACAGCAGTAGCAGCAGTTCAGCAAAAGCAACAAGCCCCAGCACCGCCGCAGCCCCAGGCCCAGCCAAGTGCGGCCCAGCCAGCGCCACCGCAGGAGCAAGTGGTAAGAGCCTTGCGGGAAGGAGTGGGGCAGTGGGATTTGGAGTACTGGCAAGTGCTCTCCTGCCAGGTCCTATATGCCAGGAACACCCCAGCAGGGTGGCTGGCTTTTCAGACCCACAGAGCCCAGGCAATCGGTGCTCTAGGGCCTGCTGGCCCCTAGTGCATTATTAGTGAGTCGCAGATGTCAGCACTAACCTTGCTGCCTCAGAGACACGTGCAATTGTTTGGACTGCTCTTTCCAATGGGATGCTGGACTTGAGTTGTGCTCTGGGCCCATAGAGAGAGGATTAGTAGATGATGAGTAGAAAGCAGATGAGAAGGTATAAGTAGCTGCTTAATGCAGCTTCTCTCTATTCCTCCCCTGTCACGACATCGCCTTAGAAGACGTGATAAACTCTTAAAAATTATTTGTACTTTAACGCATCAGGATGAGCACCAGGCAACAGAACTACTTTATGCTGCTGCTTGTTTGGAAAACTTCGGTCTTGTATTCAGGGCTCTGATGCAGAGGAAGGTGCAAGCAGCCTTCCTGGTTGTTTCTGGCATTGGGATAACTTTTTTCTTTAATGAATGCTATGGAAAGGAGACTTTTCAAAGCAGTGTATCTAAAAATAAATTAATAAATCATCCACTTTACTAATCATCCGAGTGTGTGTCAAAAATAAATGCTCTTTACTTAATGGAAAATATGGCTGTCTGCAGCAGGGAAACAGCCAGCTGTCTGTAGTGTTAAAGGCAGGGGAGCTGTGCCAGAGGGCAAGATCCCCGTTGCCAAAGTGTCTCTGCAGTACATATGGGAGGAAGCTGTGCCGTTTGCTTTCATTCCTGCGCAATCCCATCCGCTCTTGCTTGGTTTTGAGAATGCAAAGGGATGTCCCTAACTCTAGTTGCGTGTTGGAAAGAAAGCTTGTGGAGGCACCAGGCAAGAGGAAGCTGCCTGCTATTTTGCTGTAGCAGGTTACATGTGTGCAAAGCAAACAGTATCTGATAACAAACCACTTCAGGTACACAATATTTGAATCCAAACTAAGGGTCAATTTGTGGTTGCTTGTTCATGAGTTGCCAGTCATTCAGGACCTAATTCATCTCTGAGCATGCTTCCTTTGAAGTGACATCAGGAATTAATTTGACTAATAAACTCCATAAACCAGTGACCTGAGCAATGCTGGGGAAGCATTGTTTGTTTTACTCTCTGATGTGTCTCAAGGCTCTGTCATATCCACCCCCTTTGCTTTTATATTAATTTTCAGCACTAAGCTGGTGGTTAGGGTAGGTGACAGGCTTGGAGCTGCTGTTTTCCTCTTCTTGTTATTGTTTTGCTGAATGACCTGGGGCAAGTCAATTTATTGAAATTGGCGGGAGATTTTCAGTACATGTAGACAGGTTTTGGATGAGGCCCATTATTACCCTGTTCTCCCTGTTCAGGAGAAATGCCTGAAATGTAGTATTGAAGTGCATCTCTAAAGATCTTTGCTGTGATTCACTAGCACAAAAACAGTCTTAATTTTATTAAATCAGCTAGATTGAAAATTAGCCTTGTCCCTCTGGAAGGCTGATCAGAATGGACACATCTGCGCACTTTTCCACTCCTGCAGCAGTCAGGAGGGGAAAAGCAGTGGTCGGCTCATTTAAAAATTGATAGTGAGACATGGTCTCTGCAGAGCAGGATCTTTGAGCAGAAGATACCAAGCCAGGACCCATCAAAACCTTTTCACGTTGCGAGACTTCAGCTTAATAAGCTCTGCATTCACTTCTGTGGAGATTTCGGCACTGCCCTTTTATTTCTCAGCACCAAATGTACCGTTCTGCATTGACCTATATAGCGAGATGTAAGGTGGGTGCATCAGAAGCAGTCAGGTCAGCTTGGTTTTCAGCCGCAGTGAATCAGTCTGCCTGAAAATGCCAGATGAAAAGCAAGACAGCTAACCGCTTGTTTGCCTTGCCCCACTGTAGTGAAGCACCACACTGGGGATGTAACTCTTTTCTCATTGGCCCTTTAGGTCTTTCCAAGTCTTTCACCTATCTTCCTTGGTTGAAAATAGCCAGGGATGATATGGGGTGGGGAACAGGGAGCTAGCGCCCAGGCAGTGGAGGTGACATGCACAGCTTTCTGCTCTTTGCATCCTGCTTTTCCTGCTTTAAATCCAACCATCATATCTCACTGACAGACAGATTTTGAAAAATCACATAATCGGAAGTGATACTGTTGTTTATTGCTACAAAACAGTATTTCAGGTATTTGTGGGTTTGTGAGTTTAACACAAGACTGAGGTAATGGAAAAATAAGATCAGTCTGAGGAAACCCCTTGAAGTTTCCAAAGGGTTTGTAGCTGGGCTATCTTGGCTTACACCTAAACCAAACATGCCTGTGTTTTCTCCTCCAGATTCTAATGACAAATGTTGCTCCTGTGGTCCTTGCTTTGTTTTGTGTTTTTTTTTTTTTGCCTAAGAGAAAGCTAAGAAAGCTTCTTGCACAAGATTTCTGCAGAAGACCTGTACTCCTTTAGGGATTTGACCCCTATCACACATTTTCTGCTGGAGGAAGTGCTGCTCTTCACCTTGCCCCACTCCGAGTGTCCATATGACAAGACTCCTGCATGCTATGATCTGATTTCTGTTGTTACCTCTGCCCTGGATCTCAGCCTCTTTACCCATGAGCAAGTTTCCGACACCAGCTAGCCTTTAATAACAAGCACTAATAGAGGCTTTGCCTCCAGAGCTGCACCATAGAAAGGGGAGAGGTCTCTGCTTGTGCATTTGTACTAATCCTGAAATACTACAGAGCAGCAAATTCCCCCGTTTGTTTGTTTTTTCCCCTCCAGACTATCCCCAATCCATGACTCCTCTAGCACATAGCTGTTTTTTCATCACGGCTGTTGTTCACGAACAAGGACATACCATTTTACTCTCTCTCCTAGATGCAGGCACAAATGAGGCAACAGCAAAAACCTCAAACCACACCCCCCACAGCCGTGCAAGGGCAGAAGCTGGGCTCTCTCACCCCTCCGTCCTCCCCCAAGACGCAGCGTGCAGGACACAGGAGGATTCTGAGCGATGTGACCCATAGTGCGGTTTTTGGGGTTCCAGCCAGCAAGTCTACCCAGCTCCTGCAGGCGGCTGCTGCTGAAGCCAGTCTCAACAAGTCCAAGTAGGTGGCTGCTCACTTGGTGTCAAAGGGTATAGAGGGAGGGGATAGATGAGGCTCTTCAGAGATTTCCTAGGCAAAGCTTTGGGATGAAGGTAGGCAGCAAAATCTGTGGTCTAAATGAGCCTTTGCCTTCCCAAGACCACAGTTTAGGGCTTGGCAGAAAGTTGCTGAAAGAATTCCCCAAGGGCAGAAGTCCTCCTGAGTGCTTCCATGCTCCCCAAAAGCTAAGCAAACAGGGCCTTCCTCTGGATTATAAAAGCTAGTGTCGTTTCAGCTGTTCCACCAGTAGCCCTGGTGCATGCTTCACCCTTGCTGCTTAGCATCAGCGCTTCCCCAGGAGTACTTGCTAGCTCACTTTTATAGTGTCTACAGGCAGGAAGCCTCCACATGGGCAGAAAACTGTTTCAAATGGGATGCTTGTGATGCTTGTTTCAATCCCTGACACCAGGACGCTCAACCAGATTATGAGTAGATAAGGCTAAGTGATCCCAGCTTTCTGGGCATGCAAGTACAATAACTTGTGCTGAGTGTTTTAAGTAGGAAGTAATTATAATGCAGTAGCTTGGACCAGCTCATAGTGCTGGCCAGAGGATTTCAGATGGGTTATTAATGACTGTTGTTTGGTTGGGATGATCACATCCAGATCTGCTTCCACCACACCCTCGGGTTCCCCAAGGACCTCACAGCAGAATGTCTACAACCCGCCCGATGTCTCCACGTGGAATCCGTTTGATGATGATAACTTCTCCAAACTCACAGCTGAGGAGCTGCTGAACAAGGACTTTGCAAAGCTAGGTGACGGTAGGTTCATGGAGATGGTTCAATACCAGCCTGCTCTCAAAATGGAAGATAGCATGGAATAGTGATGCTTTTGGTCAGATGCTGCTGGGGTTCTCTCATATTATCATGATCCTGTGCCTGTAAGAGCTAAATCCTTCCAATCTCCCTTCTCTATCCCTGTCCTCTTTGCTGAGCAATTGCAATTAAATGAGCATGATCCTCAAAGGGAGAGGTACTAACTGCTTTTAAAGTGGCCTTGATCAGTTCGTTGTAGAAGCTTCAGTTTAAACTCTGCGTCATCTGCAAGTTATGATTTGCAGGAAGGGGCTTGAGTCACATACTGAAATAGCGTCCTAAAAATCTAGGTAAGTGGGCAACCTTCAGAATGGAAGTTTTTCTTCTAAATCTGCATCTGGCATTTCAGGGAAAGCTCCAGAAAAGATGGGCAGTTCCACTGAGAACTTGATTCCTGGTTTCCAGCCGGCTTCATCTGCAGCCCAACCGGATGCATTTGGTGGCTCTTCCTTCACTGCTGGATCAGGTGAGATTATGAATATGTCCTACAGGGCAATGCCCTGGACAGCACTGCAGAAAAATGGCAACTCTTTGTCATAGCCTCTTTAAAGGGAAGGTAAAACTGATATAAATTGAGCTGGGCCTTGGCACTGAGAACTGTAGGATAGGGTTGGCACTTCGGTAAAGAAGGGAAGGTAGGAACGGCACATGTACTTGTCACAGTTGGGTAGTAGAGACAGGAGGCACTGTCTATAGGCAGAGGTGAGGCTTTTGGTGAAGGAAGAAACTAAGTGAACCCTTTAAGTTCACAAGAAAGCTTCTTAACATGTTGAAGTTCCATACAGCTCATAATTAGAAGCAAAATATGTAGCATGTAATAAGGGAATTGGACTCAGAGACATTGATGAGACATGCTGCAGGATATTCCTTGCCTGCAGTTGTTAGGCTGTATGAAGAAGGAGAGGAGCAGGGATAATAACATCTCTGCTGCAGAATGAGGAGAAGAGCAGAGACAGGAGTGAGCAGGGAAAATCCTCAGAGGAGAGCACAGTTAGAAGTTTTGCGCTGGCTGTGCTGTCTGGGTCCAGAGGCAGGGAGTCCTTGGCTGGTCTAAGGAGCTTTTCTGCAGAGGCCTCTGCATGCGAGACCTTGTCTGGTGTCTCCTTTGGTACCAAGGTTTTGCCATGAGCAGCCCCTTCTATGCTGAAAAAACTTGGTGAGTGCTGCTGCTTGTTTCTACTTCTTCAGCATCAGTTGTCACTGAATGCAGCAAAGACCTGCCAAGCACAGTATTGGAAAACTGCTTCCAGGAGCCCTAAATGCAAGTAATCCTCTCCCCCGTCTTATGCAGCCATTGTTACTGGTGACAAATGCAACTGTGTGATGCTTCCTCACTGTGAAGCGCACCAACCCTTGGTGAGAGGAGTCCTGGGAAGAGATTGGAGAATCCTTTGTGGGGCAAGAAGTGACAAATCCATTTATGCTTATTTCTATTTATAAAAAGAGATTTACAGGAGCTTATAACTGAGCTTGGTATTGTTGGCTCTTACCTGAGAAGTAAGGAGTTGAAGTCCATGATGCAAGAGTGCTCTAGGGGGTTGCCACCTGAGTTTGTCCAGCTGTTCAGTGCCCTGTGAACAGTTTACGATGTTCCATCAGCCTTCGTGGAGTGATGTTGAGTAGCAGCAGCTCCAGATTCAGCTGTAACATACCTTCTGCAGAGCCTGAGAAGCATCTGCATGTTCTGGGCTTTCCGGATGCTGTAGCACGTTCAATTCTTTTAGCAGTTTTCTTTAAAATGTGCCCTTTGACTCTCCTGTCCTGCGGTTTGGCATAGGAGGGTGTCTTAGAAATTTTCTCAGTGCTGACGCTGGGCTGGGCACTTCTAGCCCTTTTCTTTTTCTTTCCTCATAGATATGAGCCTGTCTAAGCCTGTCTGATGCAAGATGCTGTATCTTTTATTTCAGGCAAAGAGGCCCACATGGGGGCTGGCCTGCTGTGTGTCCTTTGTTAAGGCATTTCACCTTTTGTGCCGCTGTAAAGCAAGATAATAGTGCTTCCCTTTCAAGGAATGTTTTGAGATCTGTGGGTTAAATTGTGTTGGAGAGCTATGTGGTAATAGTTGTTCATTTGTGTTTTGGTTGTTTTTTTTTTTTCCTTTTCACTAGCAACATAAACTTGTTCTGAGCGTGCATGTGTGTGGTGGTGTTGTCAGGCCATAGCTTGGACTCTGTAATATTGAGCTGTGCCTGTGCTGAGATTTTGCTCGATGCTTTCTGCTTTTCTCTCTTCTCTGTTTCACTCTGCCTTTTCTCTTCCTGGTTACCAGCTGAAAAAACGAAAGACATTCTGAGTTTGGACACTAGCCCTCCTCTTCTGACTGTGCCTGATCCTTTCATTCCTCTCCCATTATCCGACACGCCAGGTAACCGGAACTGAGTTTATGGAGGGGGGCAGATTTGTCATTTATTTTGTACTTTTAATCTTCCAGTTCTATTTCTAGGCACACCTGAAATCCTGGGCCTTAGTCAATGGTGCTGGGCGCTGACAAGCTCTGCTGAACTCGGTGGTAGTAATGATGTGTAGCGCTTTCTGCCATTGAATATCTGTGTGGTGGTGGGAGCGATGCTGAGCACAAGAGCCCTTAGTTTTCATGGCAGACCCTGGGGCTACCATATTGTTTCTAATGCCAACAATGTTGGTGTCTTTAAAGGTTCAGTATTCAAAGCCAAAAATAATCACTGGGTAGCCTAAGCCATTTTCAAATTGGTCTCCAACTTTGAAATTGTAGTTTTTATTACTGTTAATCTTTCTTTCCCTGAAGAGTCAGTGTTTCTTTGGCTTCTGAGGTGTATTGCAAATGCATGCTTCATGTGAAGCACAAGTTAACATGTAACCTTTTCTGATTTGGCAAAATTTTCTAGTGCAGTTGGTAGCAATTTCCATTTACTTTGCAGTACTACTTAAAAGTCTTTCCTGTGTACACATTTCTGACTGTAGCAGCCAACAGTTTTTAGCACAAGATTATGTAAGTGCTTAGGAGCTTATTTGCAAATCAGTGGGATTTGGAATATGGGAATGTTTTTATCTTGGAGTTTCTCTAAGCCCTCTGGTAAATGTGTGTGGCAGGTCCCTTCTTGTCAGCTAGCCCCAGAGGACAAGTGCTTGTTACAGCTCTCATCCTTGTCCTCAGCTCAAGCTGTGTATCGCTGGTGGTTTGACAGTAAAGGACCCAAGCTTCAAAACGATGTGCTTGTAAAGATGGCATCTCTCCATGGAAAGTTAAGCAATTCAGGAAAAAAAAAACACCCTATTTTTTCCATAACTGTGTGGAACTTGCTTCCTTCTGGTTGGTGCTCAAAGAGCACGAGAAATGTGTTTTGGTGCAAAAAGGGATTTTACTCATAAATGCTGCAGTTTGAGAGAAGAAGCAGAACTTACAGCCTTTCTCCCCTATGTGAGTGCTTGCCAGGAGCTGACCTGCCCAGCTATAATTTGAAAAGAACCTACAGAAGGCAGATGACTGCACATTTTTCTCCCCCCAGCCCCCCCCGCCAAATGCTATTGGAAGCATTGGTTTTCCTGACTTGAAGTCTGTCAGCCCAGACTACTGTTTAATTCTCTGCCAGTGTGCTCAACACATACAGTTGCACACCAAGACGGTTCTTTTCCTTATTGCCTATTGCATTTTGATATAGCACAACCATATGAAGCAGCAGTTGCAGCCTTAGCTGTGGGAGCTCTGAAATTCTTTATAGTACAGAAACCATTGCGGAGAAATTGCCTTTCAACCCTGCCCTCGGGTGCAAATAATCAGAGCAGCAGTTTCTGCAGTTTTTGTGGTGCCAGGTTGCTCGTCCCACAAATCTGTCTCTGACCGGTTGGGTATCTTTGCAGGCAGGTGCTAAACCTTCTTTTGCTAATCTCTCTGGTGGCATGTGTCTGGTCCTATTGAGTTCAGTCGATCTCCTTCCAGGGGGGCAAAGCGGGGGGCAAGGGCATGCAGGAGATCTGGCTTTGTTGGCTTCCTGCAGGTTCCTGCAAAGACGTCTCTGATTTATTTTTGTTTTTAACATAAAATTTGAGGCCAGGAGCTCATGAATGTTTTCAAAGACCAGAGCTACAGACTTATCCTTAGCTTTGAAAACTGAGAGGGGTTGTCTGTGCTTGTAAATTCAATAGAAAAGATAAAAATCCTGGATTTGGACTCAGGTTATCAAGGTGTGTGTCTATCATACAGAACAGAGTCATCTTTGTTCTTCTGTGTCTGCATTACCTGTGCAGAAACATCCCCACAGCAAGCAGAGAAGGCTTGGACGTGAGGGATGTGCTGACTTGTGTGTGAAAGGCATTCTTTAGGTGTGCCCCTTGGGTCAGTAGAGCTGGGATTGACTTTAGTCTCTTAGTGTATCAGCATCTCCAGTTGCACATCTCCAGGCTGCCTTAGTTTTGTGCAGAAGCAGCTGAATTTCTTCGAATGCCTGCTAAATATTTGCTTTCTGTTTGGAATATTTTTATTTCTGAGAAAACCTTGATAGCGAATCCCATTGCTTTGAAAACACTTTATGTCTGTCTTTTTATAGACTGGGAGCATGCATAACCCTTTCAGAAGTAAAAGCGTGAGCCTTTTACCCCTTGGTTACAAGAGCAGTGTTGTTCAGGAAGGCTTTCAGTACAGGCATAAGTGAGGCTTTTATTTGGTATTTTCCCTATTTGTCATACAGAGCCAGTTTTGTCAGCTCTCTGCGCTCTAAACCTGTGACAGCTGAGGGTCTGGCTGAGAGCTCAGCATCTTTTTTTTTTGCTTAAGCCACAAACTTGCTCCCTTTGGTGGTACCTGAGAGTGCAGGTGGCATCGCTTGAATGTTGGCCAGAGACCTCCTTGGGCTTTCCCACCTTTCCTCTGGATGCTCAGGACGGATGAGCCTTTCTATCACAGATTCCCGAGAAACAAGTAAATGATGCTTAACGCATGACAAATAGCCGTAGGGTGCATTCCCAGACAGCCTAAATATGTTCAAATGGAGGAGCGCGCTGCCATGGAGCTACAGCCCAGAGATGTGGCTTTAAGTATGACTGCTTGCTTGTAGGTTTACAAAAAGCGAGACCACGCTTTTGGTTCTGTGTAGTCAGTTAAATGTGTGCAGCAAAGAGAAACCTTGGACAGCAGGTTCTAGCAGACTATCCTGTTTGCGTGGATCACAGCGCTGGAGATGTGTAATATCCTAGAGGAGGTTGTTTTTCATTTGTTGTGGGTAACAAGCTTCTCAGTAAGTGCTTCTAGAGAAGAGGTAATGTAGCACCCTAGAGAAGGCAGAAATACCAGCCCTGGACAATAATCAAGTGGAAGTAGAAGGGTTTTCAGTATATTCCTCCTTCTCCAATGCATAATGGCTGCAGTTCTTAATGGAATTGTAACTAGTAAGAGGAGCTGGCAAGAGTGATGTAAAAATATGGCAAAACGTCTGTTAAAATAAGGGAGAATTAAATATTCATGCTGAAAACACTTCTCCTTGTACATGTGTAGGAAAGTGAGCCAAGTTCTTCTTAATAAGCTTATTGCAGGCTTCACTGCTGATTAATCATAATGGAGTATTTGATCAGAATGGTAATTTTTCTGCTACGTGTGGCTACGTCTATCAGTATGAATTGAGCTCGTACGAGCATGGGAGGCTAAATTTTGCACAGGGTATTCTGGAGACCTGAAATTAAACTGAATTATGAAGCTTCAAGACAAATCTTGCCCTTTGTCATTGAGGCTTCACTCCATGAGTAGTCCCCAAGTCCAGGGTTTTTATGCCCGTTATGTACAGTAGGTTTTGTTTCTTTTGACTTCAGTTCTATTGGCGTGAATGGACTTTGGACTCAATTCTGAAAACCTGCTTTGCAGAAGTATTTAATGAGAGGTTTGACCCAGAGCCTGTGAATACTTCAGCTTTAGCCCATGACCCTTATTAACTGCTGAAATTGAAATGCTTAAGTGCTGTCTTGACGTAGTTACCCGCACTCTTCAGTCAGCAAGAGTCATCTTAGTGTCAGGAAAGGGTTTAGATACATCCTCTTGACTCTAGAAACGTCTGTCAGATAAACAAGTTTTTGAGTAAGTAAAGAGTGGACCCAGTGAAATGCCCTCTCAGATACTGCCAAAAATATTCCTTTCCAATTGTTGAGGGGTTTGTTTGGGGCGAGAGGGGGGTGTCTCCTTCTTGCTCTAGTTCCAGATAAATATTCTTCTCTCAGGTACCCTGTGCTATCAGCAGTCCTGGCTTATTCTCTCCTCTCTGCAGAAGAGGAGGGAGATGAGGTGGTGGGTGTGGGTCCTTGGCAGCAGGGCAAGCAAGGAGAAGTTGTTGAGCAGCAGCACTGAGGTGTAAGAGCTGAGAAAGAGCAGCTCTGCTCCTCCCTGTTACTGGATGGAGGACAAACTCCCCCGTGCTGTCGATTGCACCGCACTGATTCATGTGTGTGCGCAGGGTGGTGGTGGTAGTGGTGGCCTCTCTGCATCAGTACTGAGTAGAATGCTGTCTCTGCACAATGAGTCAATCTTTTTTTTACCCCCTTTCAAAACAGAATGGATCATTCTTTGCGAATTTACACAACCATTTACTCCCTGCAATAATTCAGCATCTTAGCTGCAGCTGAGAGACAAATGTGTCTTTAGTGTAGTTAGTTATTTGTTTGAAGAACAGCAACACCAAGCAGCTCCTGTGACATTGTCTTGGCCATAACAGAAAGTGAGGTAAGAGAAATTCCGTGTCCGGCACAGCTAAGTAAACATGCAGACAGAGCTGGGGAAGGAACCACGGGCCAAGAAAGCACGCCTGTGCCATCTGGGCACACACTGGATTCTCATTCTTGATGAAAAGGCAAACAGCGTTGCTTATTAAAGAGTCGTTATGATGTTGGAGTTCTCTGTGGCTTTTAAATAGCACTTTAAGGATGATGTTTGCCTTTTTATTTCCTTCAGATACCCACGGACTTGTGTGTTTTTATGTTAGCCTGAGAGGATGCTTATCAGGGCTAACAAAACAGATAACTTGCAGTGCAATTTCAAAACAAAATGCGTCCACACCCTTGGCCTGTTTCTAGAGCTAGCTATCAAAAATATGTGGCCCTGATAACCATTCCTCCTATTTTGGCTTCAAAAATAGGAGTTTTAAGCAAAACTGGATTTTTCTCATTGTATTCTAATCTATGGCCTTCAGGATCTGGGTTTCCAAGCTTTCTCTGCAGGGTGCTAAAGCAGCGTTGCAAGCTGGAGGTGAGTTTCAGGCTATTGCAACGTTTGAAGAACTGGAAATGGGAAAGAATTGTGAAGTGTGGAGATCAGATTGCTGAAGCTGGCAGTTTCTAGCACATGGAAACATGAGCTAGGACTCAAACCATTGACATCCCTGTCAAAACTGCTTTTCAGCTGCTTTAACA